AGAAAAAGCAAGCCGTGAGAGAAAAAAACAAATAAGGTATTTGTTAGGTTATAAGCCTAAAATATTTTATTATTTTTCGTTTCATTTTCAAGGTATTCAAATCTGGACACCAATCTAGACAATTTCAACGTAGTTTGTAATCATACTTGATTGCAAAAATTATCAAAAGAAACTATGCTGAAAATTCGCCAAACATTTTTTGAGAGCCCTGACAAAATTACGCAGGACAACTTGCTTGCAAGCTACATGGAGATTAAGGAGCCAAAACGAAAACGAAGTCGCAAAGAAAATGGAAAATCCCATAATTTTTCCGTAAATTATTTCGTAAGTATAGTCATCTGAAATGTATTTTAAACTGTGACTTACTCTCGTTTCTTTTTACAGATATTTCAGTAAAACACAAATATGCGAGAAACTATTTAGAGCTGTGTTCAGCGTGTCTCAAAGGCAAATAAACACAATATGTCAGAAAATACAAATTGGATCAATAGCAGACTTAGAAAAGCTCACGAATTTATCAACAAATTTAATGAGGTGAAAAATTTCCAGATCTAGAAGAATCTACTTATCTGCCGACTACAGCATTACTAAACTTTACAAATGAAAAAGTGGCGAATGATAAAAAAGTAAATATTTTAGCAGGGTCTTCCGAAATCACTAACATAGGCTTCTGTAGCCCGGCCAAGGTGTATGTAATTTTTATTTTAGAACAGCTACACAATTCAGTAATGCAAGTTTTGATGTATACTATCGATAAAGGCCCACTTGAGACCCAGTTGAATGTTCTCAAGGTTAGGGCGCCATAAAATAATGAAAGAAGAATCTCCTAACTTAGTGTGTTTTTGTTTTGACTTGCAACAGGTGCAGGTTCTCCCAAAAGCTCCCATACAAGATGCTCAGCAGCTGTCCTTTTATGTTTTTGCGTTACAGCCACAAACTGTAAAAACCCAGTTTTTTATTCATGGATGGAACACCAAGCTGGCAGGGGAGCGACAGAAATATCTTCAGCCTTGCTTGATTTTTTGAATAAGACCAGTTTTGCCCCGAATATAGACTCTTCTCTGATGTATGCGGGGGGCAAAATAAAAATAACTTTACCATCCGCATGCTAATGTTATGGTTATACAGCTTTGCTCCAGAAACGATTAAAAAAATAGTTATCTTCCCAGTTCGAGGATACTCTCCGGATATTTTCCGACAGATACAATTTTTGGGAGGGTGGAAGGGATTCTAAGGCGACACGCGGTCATAAAAAAACCTGAAAAATATTGGGAACTTTACAAACAAGTAAGTGAAGTCAGAAAACTTACAACTCATTGGTCATTGGTGAATATAAAACAAGCTTCAATCTGTTCGAAAAGGGTCCTAGAAATTAGCTCAAGTAAAAGCATAATCGTCAAACGAGGAAAGCCCTCAGACATTGTGGTGAAATTTGAATTGCTGTATCGAGCGGATAATCCAGCAAAAAAACTTCAAACTTTGTCGAAACCTAAAAAGCGGTTGGATCAAATTAAACTACATGAAGTACGACTTGTACATGAAATAAAGCAAAAAAAGCTTGGTAGTCTAAAACACCTACTTGTTATTTTGTCTGGTGACGAATGGTATGAAACAGAGCCGGAGCTGAAATGGACGGCTAAAATATTTGAGAAAACTGTGGCAAACTGTAATGATGAAGATGAAGAGCACGAAAATGTCGAAGAAGCTTGTGGTTGCGCTGAGAATGATGATAATGAATTCATTTAAAAATATAATCGTTTACTAGTAATATTATTATAATAATGTGACGATAAATAGTACCGTTGGTGCCATATGTTGGGAGAGTTTCCTAGTCGCCAGAGCTTTATGGCCGATCTCTGCTTTTACGCGGATCACGACAGCACAAGCCTGTTGGTGGCGTCTGTGATGACCGTGGCAGCGACTCGCCTTCTACATTGACGCGATGTAACCTGAACTATCCTGGAAGGCCGCTATCTGGCTCCCGATTCGTCTTGGCTCAACGATGCGGACTATATAACTCGGCGGCCGGGAGGTGGAAACAGAGTACAGTAGAGTGGAGTAGAGCGGAGTGGGGTATAGTTCAGTCAATGGCGTGACATAAGGATTAGTCAGACATAAATAGTTTTGCACATAAATGATTTATCAAGTTAAATAAATTAGTGCACTTCTTTTTGTAGAATCCAGTGTTTTAATCCACACCTAAAAGAATCCAGAAAAGCGCTACATTGGTTTCAGGTGTGGGGTGTGGATTATTGGACATTTAGTGAAAATAAGTCGGACGATCAGTGAAGGAATAATGGCGCGATTGGTTAATTTTAAAATTGTCGATTTGAAAAGAGAGCTGGAAGAAAGAGAGTGCGACACGGCTGGAAAGAAAGTAGAATTACAGGAGCGGCTTCGTCAAGCACTGATTGAGGAAAGCGAGGACCAGGTTAATTTCATTTTTAGCAGTGCAGGGGATATTGGTTTAATACTGCAAAACCTTTCGTCCAAGTTAGAAAACAATTGTGCCGATCTTTTAGAAAATTCAGCCAAGTTAGAAAATAAGCTCGTGGAAAATTGTGCCAACACAGAAGGAAGGTTCGTGGAAAATTGTGCTAACCTAGAAGGAAAACTCTTGGAGTTACACGAAAGTACAGCCAAATTAGAAGAGAAGTTTTTGGAAAATACTGCCAATTTAAAAAGGAATTGGAAGATAAAATCATGAAAAAATCTTGCGAGTTGGAAAAACGGATTTTAGAAACTTTGGAGGGCAGAATTCAATAAGTGCAAGGCAAGTTTGCCGCTTTGGACGTCAAGACCATCGACGAACGACAGCGTGGACTTCCGCTAGAAAAATCAACTGAGAAAAGGGCTGTCGCCTAAACTTCAATCATCCTGGGACGGGTCATATAAAGTTGTGGAGGCCACTAACGATGTTCTCTACAGGATTCAGAAGACATCACGCGGTAAAGCCCGAATTGCACATTTCAACCACGTTGCATCTTATCATGGTAACAACGAAGATGCGGAGGTGCGGCAAATGAAAGAGGGTACCACCGAAAGATCTTCTATCTGGTTACCAAGAAAGCTTCGTATCAGAAACCGAATTACGAAGATGTTTGGAACGATTTGTGTTCACTTAGAGAAGTCTTGCTTGCCGAGGACCTGAGAAAACTGTCAATACCTAAGCTGGCATGTGGACTGGACAACCTGCACTGGAGAATCATTCGAAGCATGCTTGAGGTAGTCTTCCAGTATACAGGTAGATTTCTGGTATGTTGTCACAGTCCTAGATGGCTACCTCCTGGAAAGAGTGTGGATTGTTACTTCTTCAAGAACTCCTACTGCGAGAGAGGGCCGTCGTGCCGATATCGACATCCACCACCAGTAAGATCATTCCGGGACGGAATGACTTCAGGGAGGGGGCAGTGTGACCATAAATAGTACTGTTGGCGCCATCTATTGGGAGAGTCTCCTACTCGCCGGAGCTTCATGGCCGATCTCTGCTTTAGGCGGACCACGACCGCAGAAAAACGCTACAATACTTACAAATTTTGTTTTGTTTCATGATAATGTTCCAATATAAACCTTTTTTTAAATGAATCACAATTATTTATTTTTGTTCTCTTGACAATCACATTAAAATTGCATTTTGTCCAACATTTTTTTTTAATTTTTTCAAGTTGTTTTTCGACTTTTTTGTACCACAACTTGTGATGGAGGTCCATATACCTGATAACATTATATTATCATAAAAGTTTTTTCTCTTATGGATAGTTTTTCTATACTAGTTTTTTGCTCCTCTTGAAAATTGGTAAAAATGGACAAAGTGCAATTTGCAAGTCTGCTCCACAAATTGGAATCAACACTAGCAAATTGGTTTTAAGGATATTTTGATATTCAGCTAGGTTTGCAGTTCCGTCTATGAAGTGAAGTTTTCCAACGCCAAAGGCGGATTATGCTTCCCCATACCATTAAACCTGATGGAAACTTTACTTTTCTCTTTAGATACTCTTTATGAAACGCTTATCGCCTTTTCTTTTGTTTTTCCGTAAGTAGCGGCTTTTCTTTTGCCCAAAGCAAAGATTTCACTGAATAAAGATGCCATATGTCCCTTAAGTGCAACCTACGTTCCTCTTAAAAATAGTTGAACCTGTGTTTCCGTATTCTTTCACAATGACTGCCACGGTAGACTTTGGGACATTTATTTGTTTCGCAATATCACGAAAACTCTTTCCTGGATGAAACGATTTTATGATTAAAACACTGATTGCACCGTTTGTTGCTTTACTAAGCGACATTTTGAAACAAATTGATTCACAGAATTCATTCTTAAATAAAAACGTCAAATTGTAAATACTTTTTTGTTTCCATGACATTTATATGTCAGCAAAATGTTGCGTTGTTATCAATATTAGCTTGATGTTATATTTCAATATCATATCACTTGAAAAGAGTTTTGTTAATATGATGTACAAACAATATACTCGTAGGTATTTCCTTGTCTTATAAGAGAAAAACTATCAATTTTTAACCTTACAAGAATAAAAAAAACTTTTAGATGAAATTAGATAATGTCCGAACATTTTTGTGTTATGGCTCGTAGCAGAGAAGATAAGCGAAATACGTAAAAATAAACATAAAAAAGTAGACCAATAATTACGGCCGCAAATCAAACATTGAACTCCAACAATTTGGTGTTAGTGATCAGTTAGCGGTTGTGAAAGCAGTGAAGTTGATAATCGACCATTAGTGGTTTTATAAAAAAGGCTGCTGAAAAGCATGGAACATATTCCACTGAAACTGGGTTAGATACACATAATAAGTAGCTTAAATCTATCCATGCTGTCAAACTGTCGCAGTTATTGCCTAATACTGCTAACTGGCATAAGAGCGCTGCAGTACTGGATTGTTGTAAGTTAAAAGAATTCACCAAACGTCACCCATGTATCGAAATGTGGCTATTGGTAATTTTCCCAATTCAATTAACTCCGAGTTGTACAAAATAAATAACATACCTGATATTTCCTTTTGTCTATCAGTGAATTAGTCGTAGGGTACTCGTACTTGTAGCCACCGTCTTGTACGGTTTCTGGATAATCCAACCATGGTCTAGAGTGCCATGCTGGCTTTTCTGTAGGTTTGTACATGCTTTGCCACTTGGACACTTTGGACACGGACCAGGGAATGGGTTCCAAGCTTATCCAACCCTTGCGGTCGTCATAAGGGTGGTTGTGTCGCTTGGAGTTTAGCAGGGACCAGCTTTTTTTACCTTTGCCAGCTGTAATAAACAATGAGTTCAGACGAATTAGCAAAGCCTAATATGTACAGCTTACTTCAATTCAAGATAGTTAACGTAAATGGAATAATTATCCATTCAAGTTGAATTTATTAATCTAACGCCCAACAATTCTATAACAACAACAAATTTTCATTTCCAAATAACAATGTGAAATACATTTCTGTAGTTACAATGTTAGGTGAAATAACGTCAACATAAGGGCAATAAAAGGACTAGAATCGTGCTAAAAGTTAAAATTACTTTTTACTTCCTATGCCACAACTCGCGAGGAAGATTGTAATCGCGAAATATTTTCAAATTGACATATTATGTTTTCTTGGATGTTATATGACATGTACATTAGCGTGTCTCAAAAAAAAAACGAAAGTTCTTTTTTTCAAACGCATACCCATTTTTATTGAACAATGTCAAAACAATTACGTAGGTACTTAAAACCAGGACAACCCGTGCCGGGTTGCGTTGAAACATGTCAAAACTTATTGCAGTGCTCGTTTGTTCTATTAGTAAAAGCACTGTTTTCATTCAGTCAACATGTCGAAGAGATTATGTAGTTCTATAAAGGGAATATTTTTAATAAGGGACGTAAAGCATCAAATTACAGGTTCAAAACTTACAAAACGTACTGGTAGTTTTGTTCTATAACATCCGGGAAGTGAAATTCAGTGTCAATGACAGACCGGTGTCAAGTTGGTAGACAAAATTTATCAGACAATTTACCGAAGACACCCGAATGACCAGTGGCGTCTACATCCTCGACCAGACTGTGATTGTGAAGGATACAGCTAACAGCTCGCAACAATAAATATACATGCACGAGAATAAGCACCCCTATAGGAAGAATCATTTTCCACCAAAATAATATAATTCGCAGGAACAAGACTTAACCCAAAACCTTTCTTCGGATTTTCACTTACGGATAATTGTATATATGGTATTAAAAGTAATTAATGCGGTAAATAGCATATACTGAGGAAATCTCTAAATGGGTGGTAGATAAACAAATATAAATAATAACTCCATCTTCACCCCCACGGAAATGATTCCCCAAAATGAGTTGTACCTCAAAAACATACTCTATTATAGATACAATTTATAGGCTAGGTGGCATGGTGTAAGAAAGCTTCTGAAGGGGTGGCAGATAAGAAAATATAATTAAAAATTTATTTTCAAACCCAAGAAAATGATTCCCCAAGATGAGTTGTACCTCAAAAGAATACTCTGTTATAGAGACAATTTATAGGCTAGGTGGCATGGTGTGAGAAAGCTTCTGAAGAGGTGGTAGCTGAAAAAATATATTTATAAATTCATTTTCATCCCCAAGGCAACGATTCCCCAAAATAAGTTGCACATCAAAACAATACTCTATTCTAAAGACAAGCTATAGGCTAGGTGGCATGGTGTGAGAAAGCTTCTGAAAGGGTGGCAGCTAAAAAAATATTCTTATAAATTCATTTTTACCCCCATTGAAGTGATTCCCCAAAATCAGTTGTACCTCAGAAAATACTCTATTATAGAGACAATTTACAGGCTAGAAGGTATGGTGTGAGTAAACCTTTTGAAAGTGTAGCAGACAAAAAATATCATTAAAAATTCATTTTCACCCCCAAGGAAATGATTCCCCAAAATGAGTTGTACCTCAAAAAAATACTCTGTTATAGAGACAATTAACAGGCTAGGTGGCGTGGTGTGAGAAAGCTTCTGAATGGGTGACAGATAAGAAAATATAATTGAAAATTTATTTTAACCTCCAAGGAAATGATTACTCAAAACGAGTTGTACCTCAAATACTTACTCTATTATAGAGACAATTTATAGGCTAGGTCACATGGTGTGAAGAATCTTCTAAAGAGGTAGCAGATAAAAAAATCTCATTTTCACCCCCAAAGAAAAGATTCCCCAAAATGAGTTGTACCTCAACAAAATACTCTATTATAGAGGAAATGTATAGGCTAGGTGGCATGGTGTGAGAAACCTTCTGAAAGGGTGACAGATAAAAAAATATGTTTATAAATTCATTTTCACCCCCAAGGAAATGATTTCCTAAAATGAGTTGCACCTCAAAACAATACTCTATTATAGAGACAATTTATAGGCTAGGAGGCATGGTGTGAGAAACCATCTGAAAGGGTGACAGATAAAAAAAATATGTTTCTAAATTCATTTTCACCCCCAAGGAAATGATTTCCCAAAATGAGTTGCACCTCAAAACAATACTATGCTTTAGAGATAATTTATAGGCTAGGTAGCATGTTGTGAGAAGGGGCAGTTAAAAGGTATACTTATAAATTCATTTCCACCCCCCAAGGAAATAATTCCCCAAAATCAGTTGTTGCTTACCTGCCACCTAGCCTATAAATTGTCTCTTTAGTAAAGTATTTTTTTGGGGTACAACTCATTTTGGGGAATCATTTCCTTCGGGGTGAAAATGAATTTATAAACATTATTTGTCAGCTGCGACCCCTTCAGAACCTTTCTCACACAATGCTACCTAGCCTACAAATTGTCTCTATAATGGAGTATTTTTTTGAGATTTACCTGATTTGGGGGAATCGTTTCCTTGGGGGTGAAAATGAATTTAAAAATATATTTTTGTAGCTTCCATCCTTTCAGAAGCTTTCTCACACCATGCCACCTAGCCTATAAATTGTCTCTGTAATAGAGTATTGTTAGGAGGTGCAACTCATTTTGGGGAATCATTTCCTTGAGGGTGAAAATGAATTTATAAATATATTTTGTTAGCTGTCACCCCTTCAGAAGTTTTCTCACACCATGATACCTAGTCTATAAATTGTCTCTATAATGTAGTATTTTTTGACGTACAGCTGTTCTTGAGGAATCATTTCCTTGGGGGTGAAAATTAATTTATGATCATATTTTTTATCTGCCACCCCTTCAGAAGCTTTCTCACACCATCCCTCCTAGCCCTTAAATTGTCTCTATAATAGAGTATTATTTTGAGGTACAACTCCTTTTGGGGAGTCATTTGTTTGGGGGTGAAAATGAATTTATAGTCATATTTTTTTTATCTGCCAGGCCTTCAGAAGCTTTCTCAGACCATGCCAACTAGCCCATAAGCTGTCTCTATAATAAAGTATTTTTTTGAGATACAAATCATTTTGGGGAATCATTTGCTTGGGGGTGAACATGAAGCTTTATTTATATTTTTTTATCTACCATCCCTTTAGATATTTTCTCAGTATATGCTATTCAGTTCATTAATTACTTTCAATACCATATATACAATAATCCGTAAGAGAAATTTATTCGAAGAAAGGTTTTGGGTTAAGTCTTGTCCCGGCCAATTATTTAATTGGGGCGGAAAATGATTGTTCTTATGGGGGTGCTTATTCTCGTGCATATATATTTATTGTTGCGAGCTGTTAGCTGTATCCTTCACAATCACAGTTTGGTCGAGGATGTCGACACCACTGGTCATTCGGGCATCTTCGGCAAATTGTCTGCTAAATTTTGTCTGCCAACTTCACACCGGTCAATGAGAGCGCCAACCTTACTATTCGTGAGTGCATTATTTACTGGGAAAAGGAACGTATACCGACTAAATCTCTCGCTAACTGTGTTAAGAATCTAGTTGCCTTATACTATGTTTGGAGAGATTTACAAAAAATGCAAACAAAGCACAAGAAGTGCTTGAGCAACGTCGCAAGAGTTTGTTACGAACTTGCGACAATTTGTTTGACATTGCGTATGCCGATGCCCTTCAATTGAAGAAAATAAATGAAGACAGGATCTTCTTGCACCGGCAGAGAGCTAGGTCGGCCTGATCAGTTAGCTGGGGTGGACAAGAAATTAGCCATAAAAGAAGAAAATGCGCATCTTAGGAACACCGAAGAACATCATCTTACGAACCAGCGCAAGAAAATTCATCTCAAGAAAATTTACCCATCCCAACTCAGAGCACAAAGCCTGATACAAATCAAACTCAAATGAAAGAAGGTTTCATAACTCCAAAACTAGTGGCAGTAATGGATAAGTATCAATTATGTATTAGAAATGCTGTTTTTATTATTGAAGCAACCATTGAGGCATTTGGACATGACACTGATGAGCTTTCTATAACGAAGTCCTCCATTCAAAGAATTCCTACCGAAAAGCGAAAGAAGTGCGCAAAAGCTGTAAAGATTGATTTCCAAAGCGAAAACTGTAACTGTACTCTTTGATGGCAAATTGTCGCCATCCTTAAATGTATGCAAGTCTAAAGAAGAAGGTCTAACGATTGCTATAACGTATTAAAATAAAGAGCAAATTATCGCTGTGCCCACATTGAATTATTGTTCAGGTAGCGAGTAGGCTCAGGCAGCTTGGGATGCTGTTAATGACTGTAACCTTGAAGATAAACTTCAGAATATCTGTTGTGATACTAGTTGTTCAAATACGGGTCGCATCAACGGTGCCTGCGAGCTTCTCGAACAGAAACTTAATAAAGACTTTATAATAAAAAATGCTTATTTTTGCTTGCCGCCACCACGTCTAGGAATTAGTTTTAAAAGGCGTGTTTGAATCAAAGATCGACCAAGTGACTACAAGCCCCGACATTCCAATGTCTAAAAAGTTTCGCGAGAGCTGAAAAATATGTATACTAAGAAGCCAGCATACCTGAATATTTCAGAGACTGACAAGTTGCTAGAATTTTATCGACATGGATTGCCCAAAGAAGTTGCTAGAGAAGACTATCGAGAATTAATGGAACTGTCAATAGTATTCCTTGGCGATACAGAGAAAAAACTTAAGATTCATCTATTCATTAAAAATAGCGTTACCAAGTGTCCAGCTCAACCTTTCTAATAAGGATAAGACAGCTCTGTTAGATAACTGCCTGTTCATCGTGACAACATTCGTGAAACCGTGGTTGCAATGCACTTTAGCAGTAAAAGCACCTAACTAGGATTTATGCTGTTTAAAGGCAATGAAGGTTTACTAAAGAATTGACAAAACCATTTGAAAAAGCAGCTTTACAAAGTTTCTACCAACATTTATGGTATGAGACAGATGAGGTCTCTGTCTTATCTCGGTTTGACGACGTCGTAGATGACGAAACTAAGGTAAACATTGTTGCTAATTTAGCCAAAGAAAGTCTATCAGCCCACAGTAAACGCTACATCCCATCGAAGGAAGAACCTTCTAGATCACTTTATGGTAAGTCTGACGAATAAATTTTCGTTTGTCTTCTTTCACTGCTCCGATATAATATGCTAACTGTTAAACTAAGTCAGCAGAAACTGCGATCTGGCAATATATGCCACCTTATATTGTCTTGTTTCGATAGATCTTATACCTCAGATAGAGGTTAGTTGTCATGCTTTCGTTCGTTGTCCTGACCTGAGGCCAATCCTAGACAATGCTGGTGACTTGCCAAAAAGCACAAAACATATGTTCAAAGTTGATTGTTTGTGGTAGAACGAACAGCAACAAAGTATGTTTAGATGGTAGCTTTTCTTTGTTTTTTCATTTCAGAGAAGATATAGATCAAAAGCAAGTGCTTGTTCAGTCGACTCAAAATTATTGACAGTTTTTTCGATTGAGTGTCCAACTTCATGGTTTCATAACGATTTTTTTCAACACGTTCAGAATAAGGTGCAAACGATACGGTAGAAAGAGAGTTAAGTTAATGAAAGACTTCCATGGCTTAATCACTGCTGATGAGGAACAAGAACAGGCAGGTATATCCTGACTGTAAAAATAAAACTTTGAAAAGAAAATTTGGTAAATAATGTTTTTTTAGTGATAAATATCTAAGAAATATAGCATACAAATAAATCAGTATTTTATTTGTCGAATAAGAATTAGAAAACCATGGTTTCCCTATTAACTTTCAAATTCAAAGTTTGGATTATCGTTCCCCGATCGCAAATGCGTATCTCAATTCTAACAAAAATGTGTTCGCCCTCATAGGCTGGCACACCCTAATGTTTATGCTAAATAAGGCATTTTATAGTACATATGAATTTTTGTGCGAAAAACTCGTTATTCTTATATGTGTTTCAGGCTCACACAAATAAAGCATTTCTATTCCATTCTAACATCGACGTAGACGGAACAGTCACACTTTTCATACGCGACACAAAAGATTAACATGAAAAATTCCTCATCCCGCACTTATGAATCAAATCTTACCTTTTATGTCATCAGAATAGTCATCCTTGTTGCCATATTTCTCCTGCTTTATTTTCTGTGCGTAATTGTTCAGAAACTCTCCTAATGATGGATTCTGCGAGCCTCCAATATCGAGATGGACCTGATCCTCTTCGTTGGACTCAAACTGGTTATCCAAGTCAGTATATGTTTTCCTATTGAAGAGTTTCTTTCCGTAAGGGCTTGTTGCGTCAGTTGTGCTGGCATCAGTCGAATAATACGGCTTCTTCCTCCTTTCGCTATTCCTCGTGTAAATCGGCTGTAAATCGGGATCATCATTCTCGAAAAGTTTACTTGTTGACTTTTTATTAACTTGACTTGAGCTGCTACCGCCGAGTTGATAGATGACTTTCTTTTTGATCACGTGGTCGTTGTCCAGCACATCGATAGGGATCATCTGAGAATATGAGTAGTCCTTTGCTTTCCGTTCATCTTTCTCTCGATCTAGAATAAAGCAAAAATGAACAGAAATCCATAGGTATACATATCCCAGTAAACATAACATAACGCCCTAACGTCGGCATTTTTAGGACAAAAATAATGTAGATATGACATTATGACGGTCTAATGTCACAGCCAATTGACGTCATTATATGACGTCATAGTACGTCTATCTGAGGTCAATATGACGTACAGTTGCTCGCAAAAATAATCACGCGGTACATCTAAATGTTCCTGTAAAATTGATGATCTGAGAACGACGCCTCGCAGTTAGTGAATTCAGTAGTGGCAGAAAGGTGGCAAAACTCAAAGAAATCCAAGCGAATAACCAAAATTTCTGTGTCATGTACCGTGGTTATAATATCGCTTCAGGTGATACACGAGTTGATGACGTCAGTTACCCGAATCGCTTGAACGCGTTGGTTTTAACCGCGGTTTTGTTGCAAGTTGTTTATTTTAGAAAAGAGCGTATGTAATTTTGATCAACCCCATCTTTCTTCATTTGGGAGATGGGAGAACACCTGTGGAGCAAAGAACAGTGAAGAGAGTGGATTGGCAGCGATTTAGAATCAGACTGCACTATTCACTAGGACCACTACTTCAGATTGAAAGCCCTGAAGGCATAGAGGAAGCGGTCACGGACCTAGAAAGGAAGATTAAGGCTGCGTTAGAAGCCGCAAGCAAACAGGTTCAGGGACCTACCTGACGAGGTAAATCTCAAGATCACCGAAAGAAATAGAGCCCGAAAAGTAGCCCAGGAGACCAGAAGCCCCACGGACATCAGGGTGGCAAACAGACTGAATAAAATCCTCAGAAACAGAAGACCGCCCATCCCCCCAATACACAGCGAACAGGGTGTACACAACCAAAGAGAAGGCAGAAGCTTTTGCTGACAACCTTCAGAGACAGTGTACTCTCAATACTCACCCCGATGAAGACGAAGACTTCATCGATGAGGTGATAAGAAGATCGAGGAGAGCTGTAATAGGAGGAAGAGCCATTGAAGACATGACTTCACCAGGCGAGGTAAGAGAAATCATCGGAAGACTCAAGGTGAAGAAAGCACCGGGTGTAGACGAAATTGGGAACAGAGTCTTGAAGAGACTCCCGAGGACCCGAGGAAAGCGATAATGGCAATTACCAACATTGTCAACGCCATACTGAGACACTGATACTTTCCAGATCACTGGAAAGTAGCCGAAGTGATGAACATACCAAAACCTGGGGAAGACCCAAGGTTCCCCCAAAACTACAGACCCATAAGCCTGTTGATGGCACTGAGAAAGATTGCAGAAGAGGTAATCGAACGAAGACTGGGGAACGAAACTGAAGAACTCGAGTAGTTCCAGACGAACAGTTCGGATTCCGAAGCGAACATTCAGCAGAGCACCAGGTCCTAAGGCTGGTCAAGATGGCAACGAAATCGGTCCAGACTCGGCGGGCCGTGGGAGCTGTGTTCATGGATGCCGCTAAGGCGTTGGACACTGTTTGGCATGACGGACTGATCTACAAGATGGTAGACCTCGGATACTCAACGGGGATGATCCAACTGGTGAAGTCCTATTTGAAGCACCGTAAATTCCGAATTAGGATTGGAAAAGAAACTTCGACGATGAGGACTGTGGAGGCAGGAGTACCGCAGGGAGCGATTCTATCACCGCTGCTGTATGCAATCTACAGTTCAGACATCCCGAAGACTCGACAAACGCAACTGTATGTGTATGCAGACGATACAGCATATGCGGCAGAAAGTACGAGACCCGCATGGTTACGGAATATCTGCAACAAGCGACTACCAACCTAGAGGAATGGTGCATCAAGTGGAAGATCCGTCTCAACCCTGCGAAGACCGAAGCGGTACTGTTCCGAAGAAATCGAAGTTTACCTGAAACCAAAATAAAGATGACGACCACCAGAATGGAGAGAGGCTGGAGAAGAGACGAAGAAGTTGAGGTCGACTGGAAGGACTCCAGCACATACATTCGAGTCAAGATGGACCAAAAACTCACTTGGAAGAACCATGTCGAGGGCCAGGTGCAGAAATTGAAGATGGCACGATCCAGACTAAGACCTTTAACAGGCAGAAGAAGCAAAGTGTCCTTAAAGAATAAGACCATCATGAATCAGATGGTGCTGCTCCAAATCATGACTTACGCAGCAGTAGCTTGGGGCTACGTTTCCAAAACGATGAAGAAGAGGCTCCAAGCTCAACAAAACATAGCACTCCGTGAGGCGGTGGACGCACCGTGGTATGTACCTAACAGAGTGCTATATGACGAACTACGACAGGTACCGGTCGTAATCCAGATGAGAGAGAGGGCCAGAAAGTTCTTTGAAAAGAAATGTGCTGATTGAAGCCGCCTTGGATTACGACCCAAGAACAATAAGGCGTCATAAAAGACCGAAAAGCCAGCTGCAACAAGAAGAAATTTGGCCCTAGCAGCTGATGAGGCCAAAGAAAACGGGAGAAGACCAACAATAGTTGTACACCCAAGAGGGGAAGGAACAGCCCGTGTACAACGGGTGGACAAAAAGAAGCCTGTCGATTGAGGTGGCCAGAGTCAAGCACGGACTCGGGGCTAACCTCAGGAGACGAATGACAAACAGCAAATGACTGACTGACGACGACTGACTGACTCCAGTCGACGAGGAAAGAGCGAAGGCTCACCAACCTTAATGCGGGGCTTAGGTCAAAGCCCGCAGCGCAGGACCCCCAAGAAAGAGGCCGTCCGTAAAAGTCGAGAACCGACTGTTGGAAGAAACGTCCACCACGTGCTTCCGCGACGCGTGCGCGATCGAGTCAAATTTCGGGAAAAAGGGGCAAAATTGGGGAGGGGGGTTAGCTCGTTCGGCAGCACACACTCGGGGAATGCGCAGCGGCCTGAACCACGCAGTGCAATGTCAGGCCTTCGGGCGGGAGAGGAGGGAGGAGCAGATTGCTCTTCCCTCCACTCCTCAAGGGTTTGAGGTTGCCTGGAACAGGGGTGGTGGAGGGACCGCACAGGGTAGCAGGGTGAGTGTGTGTGTGTAATTTTGATCACTTAATAATCGATGCCTTTTGTCTACAACAGTGGTATGAAAAGTTTAAAAAAGAAAACTTTCATTATATTAAAGGGAGAAATGTTTTTTATTCAGAAGATATTGATCAGGTGTTGAATTACTTGAGAAAATCTCTAATTTTTAAAAAGTTTGTCGTAAAAAAAAGATATAACGTCCAAAATTTTAATGGTGGAACCATGGCTTTGTAGTTATAATAACTTTCAATTCTCTAAACTTTTCCGCATGTCTAATAAAACATTTATTAATTTAGCAGAAATGATAGCAAAAAGCGATAAAAATATTAGCAAAACCATATACATGTGGACATTATCCAGTGAGTTTATATGGCTATATTTTAATATTCTTGACTACACAGGATACTTTGTATGCATAGGAACTAGATTGAAAGTGTCCCCAACAACAGTAATGAGTATAACTAATAAGGTGGTCTACTTCATACTACAACTGAAGTCAGCCTGTATCAGGTTTCCCAAAAATGAAGCTGAAGTATAACAAAAATATCCAATACCCGCCAAAATTCTAACTTGTCACATTTCAAACCATAACCAGAAATATAAAACTACTCCGGGTAAATACCACAATTTTACGGTGATAACTATGACATATAACAGCTGATTGACGACGTCACGGATCTTATAACCAAACTGATTACCACACTCGCTTGAACGGATCGGTAAATCCGAATCCAAAATGGTAAATACCATTTTCATTTGGTTATTCACTTGAATTTGATTGTATATTCTACTTACCTACCACTCTAGAGCCCTCTTGCTCCGAGACGTCGTTATCACCTCCGCCATTTTTAGAAGCATTTGTACAGGGTGGCCAACTAAGAATGCGAAGTACTGTATCTGCAAACTTATCCATCGTAGAGGCTTACGGCAAAAAAGTTCTTACTAAAACGGCCAAGAGAAAAATCTGGAAAATTCTGAAATGGCCGCTACGAGGCGTAACTGCAATCTTGAATTTAAAAAAATGATGTTTCGGTGAATTCCGATATAGTAACAAAAAAATGCCTGATCTTTAAATTCGAGGACAATGTGAACTTTTTTATTTGACAATTTTTGCTGTATCTATAAAAATGAGGTGGTCGGGGTATTCAAAGGCAAAAGAGCTACTCTTTGGCTACAATTGTTATTAATAGAGACGGGATTATATGCCTTTATATATTAGCATATGCATTTTGGCTGGTTGTTGCATATTTCAAAAAAATTCGAGAGACGTAGCATATTTTTGCTACGATTACAACTTTTTCCGCATGTTATCTTGATAATAAATTAAATTTTACATTGCAGCTAGACAAATTTATCGATATCACGCTTATTCGCCAGACGATAAGGTTTCCATTAAAAATTTTGGTAGATGAGACGTTAGAGTGAATTCGCGCCTACATTTTATGTGAAAATATGCTTCCAATGAACGGTGTAGTAGATGATTTCGATAGTGCATATGCTATGGCAACTTGTGAGTTTAAGGAAGCATTCAACGACTCTAGTATCAAAAAGAACATAGCTATGATTAGCTCTCATTTCTCTTATTTACCTGCCAGTGTGAGAAAGCTTAAAACTCAAGGCTTGGGGTTGACTGAGTATATCCAATTATTGAAAAAATCCAGCTAATGAACTCCGCATTGCCAGACGCATTCTCGTCTAAGTGTAAATATATAGGATACGATACGATACCTTAAAAGCGTTCGAAGTACTACCCTATATTTTTTCACTTATCTTACGAGGGTAGTATCTACATACACAACTTAACAAGGGCTTCAACGTCAGGATAATTTCAAAGCCACTAATTTGGTGACGTAACGACAGGGGAGATGTCCTTCCTTGGCGAGAGATACGGTCGATAGAACTGGGTTGTCGGGAACAAGCCTATTTTTAGAAAAAACCTTTTGAGTACCTTCCATATTCTACCGAATTATGACATGCACAACTCGACTG